GGAAAACCATTATATTCCGTGAAGTTTACGATGCTCGAAAAGCTGTAAACCTATTTTATATAAGAAACCGTAACAATAGCAATACCTCCATGAAGCTACGCACCAAAACGTCTAGCCTGAACCTTCGCTCGGAATTTTTTACACAAAGGGTAATGGAGAAACGGAATGATCTCCCTCAGTCAGTCGTGAAGGCGACGTCCCTGAAGGCCTCCAAGAGACGTTTGGATGATTACCTGTGTCCCTCGTTTTCCCATGAGAGCCTGAACCTGGGCTGAATATCACGCGAACCCCAGGAACTTCTTCTTTTGAAACAACGCTACTTAAATAATGCAAGCACCATTTTAATAGCGGCACTTTTCATCTTTCATGTGCAGTAAGGTATTCAAAGGGATTACCAACCATCCTTACCGAAAAACTGAAGAGATTGTCCGAAGAAAAGTGGCTACCCGGTGATATACACTTTTCTGAAATCCGCTAGTCAAATGTCGCGAAACTTTTCCTTCGGAAGATAAAAGCTCATGTAAAAAGGAAGCATCCAATCCTCCAAGACGCTCTTGGAAATCCTACAGCAGACGTTCAACTAACCGCCGGTAGCTTCAATGTTTTCTTGTCCAGAAGGTCTATTAAAAATTTGATCGCTCCGCTTCCGATCATCCAGGCGTGGACCGGGGCAGTTCTCGAAACCATAGCTTTCACCCTCTGGGACGTGAATGTAGCAATTCGGCGTCTTCGTCGGTCACATATTCCGGGGCCCGATGGCGTCCCATTTAACACTTTAAAATCGGATGCAAATGAAATTTCCCCATCCCCCTGGGCAAGGTATTCAGTCCCGCTCTTGAAAGTGAAGCCCATCCTACTTTGTGGAACGAATCACACATTTGCCTAGCTCCAAGCACGGTATCTCTACGTCATTTGAATACTTTTGGCCAATAACCACTCGCCGGCAGTTTCAGAAAATCATGGAGACTGATATGTGTCACTTAACTCAGAATAACCTACTAAGTGCTATTCAGCACGGATTCTTCAATGCTTGCTACTCTACCACCTACCAGTTCTCTTCTTTCGATCATGTTCACCAATCTAGAAACACTGACTTTGCACTTTACATAGTCTAGTTCGATTTCACTAAGGCTCTTGATCGTGTTGACCACGCTCTTCATCTTTTGAAACTTTCATGTTTCAGAATAGCTGGCAAACTTTTGAATTTAAATAAATAAACAATTTTTATTAAAGACCCATCGGGGTCCCATCAACGCAAGTAAAATAAATTTTCATATGAATTTTAGACGAGGTAGGCAGAATTTGTACAAAATGCGTTTTTGAATTAGTAGTCCGTTTAGAAAAATGATGAGTGAGCAGAGAAAAAACTCCACTCAAGAATTAAAAATGGATCAACTTTACAGGAGAAAGAAAGCTGTCGCTCATAATAAGACAAAAATGGGGGCGGGACTGGCCTGCATGTGGCGGTGCATAACGGATTATAACCGGATATCGCCAGGGCAGAATTGATACGCCGAATGGGAGTATTAGCGTCAAAATGGCGAGGCGAGAAGAACCCACTCGCGATCGGCCACAGCTCGCTT